CAGGTTGACCACCACTTCCAACGTCCTTGGTTGGGTTTTGGGCTCCAAGTTTTGACGGCCTGGTCTGCACCTTTAAAATCGTCGTGTAGAGCTTCTGGTGGTGGTTAGCGATGGCAGCTGACAATTGATGTGATCTTGAGAGCTCTGCAAGCACACAACACAGATATATATTTATTTATTTAGTTATATACACATGTGTATATATATATATATGTATATATCAACGAGCACGCCAGAATCATCACGAAGACGGTGCTAACAGCACTGATAAACACGAAGCGACAGCATGACTTTAAACCCGAACAACCCCCAGTAAACCCCAAGCAGTCCCCGAATAATCCCCTACAAGACTGCAGTGATGAGGAGAACTCGGCGGCCCGAACTCGCAGAAAGCAGCCTCATCACCGGCTTCGACATGATCCGACTTGCCCTCACGGCGGTAAGGTGGGGTTTAGGCTTGAGGGTTCCTTGTTAGGAGGACAGTATACGTCCTCCCCAAACCCTATTGAAATTATTCATGCTAAATTAAAGCGGTGCCTCGACCCGCTCTGTAATTAGTTGCTGCGTCGAGTAGGAACTGTAAACATTGACCCCAACAGGCTGCTACTTGTAGAGTGAGAAATCAAGTTTATGACGAGGTCTTTCCAAACATGCCAGACATCTTCAGCTGCGCGATGGTAGACTCCAGAACGAGACACGGGAAACAACGAACAGAGGTAACGCACGGAGTCTACACAACTATCATGCTTCTGGCGATTCTCGTCCAGAGCAGGAATTTCATCCTCATATTGTCCCTTTGAAAGAAAAGCTGAAGCTTAAGTCGGAGTTTACACAATCATTGTACCTGTAATTTCCAGCTGCAGTCGCGGCCAGCTGCTACGCCTTGGGTCTTGCGTGTAGACTGGCGTCCTTGCAGCACAAGCAGGCGCAACCGGTGAACGTGGTGATGATTTTTCGCAGTAAAGTCTTTAAAGAGCTGAACAAACTACAAGAGCACTGAACCCTAAACCCGCGAATGTACGGGTCTGAAGATTCCGGGGAGTCCACGATAACTGCGTCGTGGCCTGAGCTTCCGGGAAGTACTGGTTCAGCCTGAAACGCCTTGCTAAAACCCCTGAAACATAAGCTTAAATCCCAATCCTGAAAGCCCTCACATCCCGAACCCGGAACCCTCAGTCCTTCATAAGGCAGAAGCCCCTTTAAAACCCCAACCCGGCTGCAGCCAGAAGTGCCCCAATAGGTGGCGTCCGGGCAACACTTCCGAGCACTGGAGCTCCTGGGCTCACGGGTGGTCATGTGTTTTGTAACTTTCTTGTTGACAAAGTCCTATTTAGGCCTTGTTCCGTGATTCACGTGGTGGTGTTGTGCTCTTGCTCAGTATCCATAGCGAATGTCGCTGCTTGCGCTGTTGAAGATTGGTTTGTAGTTGGATTCTGCTGGTACTGGTAGTGGTGTTACTGCTACTGTGTTTGTGTTCCCCGGCTGTTGATGGCACAGTTGCTTCTGCGGATAGTTGCGGATGGTATAACACCTTCGTCACTTTTTGCTCTGCACTGCTCGGTACCGACATTTGCCCATGGACGTCCTGGGCGGTGATGCTCAGGGTGATGATGATGATGATGATGGGGATGGTGGCAACTCCTGACTGGCAGGCTTCAGCCGAAACCGGCAAACGGAGTAAGACCCGAATGAAATTATTCGGTTCCAGGTGCCAGAGATCTGTGCCCCGAATCCAGAAGAGATCTTGTACTGAAGGACTTTGGCAGCACCGGGCAAAGGTCTGCATCTATCCACCCGAGCAGTTCATCCTGGCGGTTGCAAAGTCGACGGATGCCCGGCACGGCTTCTTGCTGCTGACTCGGTCGGGTGAGATCGGGACGTTCACCCCCAAACGTGGGCTGGTGACCACGCCTTTTCCTTGGAGGGATCTTGATCCGACACGCTGGCACCGACTCCTTGCCGTTGGAAGCGGAAACAGCACGGCTTTCTTCTGCAACGGCGAGCACATCGGAGCTGTGCCTTCGGTGCCCGAGAGGTGGCAGTGGCCTGCTAGGCTGGAGTTGTGCAGAAACTGTGGCAAGTTTGAGTCGTAGGTTTGTCGTAGGTGTAAAGGCCCTGAAGCCCTGCCACTCCCCATCTGAATCTCAAGCCGCTCAAGCCCCGAGATTCGGCGGCGATGCGGATGCACGCAAGCCGCAGGGAGCCGGAGAGCTGCGCAATGTCATGTTTTGCACACTGCGCCCTGGCGCTGCTCCACGGGAATGCCGAGCATCGGAAGAGACGGAAAATGCCACGGCCGTATGCCTTTCAGAGCACCATGATCAGCCACAGGACCTTACCCTCCCAACTCTGTACTTACAGGACAGTGCACGGATGCCAGGTCAAGCTTGCAATTTCATGTCAAGTCCTCCTCCCAGTTCACTCTTGAGGGTTAGGGCGGAGGGCTTTGGGCTTCGTGGCTGATCTGGAGAAACTGGAAGGACATTCTGTTGTGTGAAACATCTTGGTGTACACAGACCACTTAATGTATGTATGTATGTATGTATGTACGTATGTATGTAATGTATGCATGTATGTATGTTATGTTGTGTTATGTAATGTAATGCAATGCAATGCAATGTAATGTAATGTAGAGTACCATAATGTAATGTAGAGTAGTGTAATGTAACGTAATGTAATGTAATGCCATGTAATGTATGTATGTATGTCTGTATGTAAGTATTTGCTTGATTGATTGTATGTGTATGCATGTGTGTGTATGTATGTATGTATGTATGTATGTATGTATGTATGTATGTATGTATGTATATATGTATGTATGTATGTATGTATGTATGTCATGTATGTATTTGTTTATTTATTTATTTAGTTGTTATTTATTTGCTTATTTAGTTAGTCAGCCAGTCAGTCAGTCAGTCAGTCAGTCAGTTAGTTAGTTAGTTTACTTATTTATGTTTATATTAATTTCATTATATATATATATATGTATGTATGTATGTATGTATGTATGTATGTATGTATATATATATATATATATATTTGCACCCTTACAAGCCCATGCTGCAAAGCAGGGCACATGCCGGAACATGTAATATCACTCATCCGCTTCGACGTAAAGCTGATGTTAGCAGGCATGCATACATACCTACCTACATACGTATGTACGTACGTACGTACGTACACACAACAACGCAGTCTTGCACCTTCTAGCGAGACTGTGTTATGGCTATGTCGTATTTCCCTCCGTTGTCCATAATGACCATAATTAATGATGTGCGATCAGTCAGACAACGCATGCGTGCACGCACACGCTCTCTCTCTCTCTCTCTGTATAGCTCGCTGTACTGCAATCACAACATTGATGTATTTTTATGTCCAGTGCATGGTCACCCGTATAGTTTCGTACAGTCTACGAGTCTACGACCGACGAGGTAAGATACAATATACACCGACATACACTGGCTGTGCACAAGCAAAACACATCACGCGTTATCCACTTGAAACTGCACACATTCACTTGAAACTGCACGCATTCTACAGTAAGTTGCAGTCTGCATATGCCCGTCCTGGACCCAGACCGCAGTCGCGCGAGATAGCTGTGGTCTGAATGAAGTTTGCAGACCCCGGGCTTAAGTCAAACCTAACCTCATCTGCATCCCCAAGCCTTCGTGTATGCTCGCTCCACGGCTGGTGTCCTGAAGCACTAACACTCCCGAGCCGGACTGCAATACTGGGAACACCATGTCGCACTAGCGACACCTCAGAAGGGCACGCAAGGATTCGGCTGCTGCTTGGGTCCAAGGACTCTCTTGTGCAGGATCTCGGTTCCGGCGCAGACACACGCGCCACGGCCTCTGGCACCTTCCCCGTCCATCCCCTTGCGGGCAATCTCCTGCCAGGCCGGCACTGCTGGCACTCTCTCCGAAATCCTCGTCACGTGCCGCGCCCAAACTGCCCGTGAAGGGCTGCAAAGGAGTATCTTGGGTCTCAGGTAGCTTCACTTGGGGTGGACATCTTCATCAGTTCGGGATATCGAGGAGGGCCCTAGTTGCAAGAAATCACCACCAGAATCACTTGCAAGCTGTTTGCGTCCTTGAGGGCCGAAGCTGTCATGGGGTTTTGTGTTGATCGGAGTCGGAGCCCTCGAACAAGAAAAGCGGAGGCTTTGGGGTTTGCACCAAGGGTGGGGTCGAATCTTGCGCAAGTAGCACCAAGGCTTCCAATCCCGGTTTCTGAGACTGGGCATTCTTGCTTTGAGGTCCCAACCCTCGTGGACGACTGGGATCAGAACCCCGAAGTGAACCGTTTTCTCAAACTATCCTCTGGTCCCTTCCGTGTTAAAAAACGTACGAGCCCAGGGTCGAAACAAGTGCAAACCTCCTTCAGCGACACCCTATAAATCCGAAAACTCGTCTGTGACAATCTACGTGCGAACCGTCCCTTCATCGGGAGAGGACTTTAGTTCAGCTCCGATCCTCGCGTTACCGAAAACCGAAGCCATGCTTTTGGTGGGAAGAGCGTCTGGAGCTGCCAAGTGTGAGATGGACTGGTTCCTACAATCATACTTGTGCTAGTCACATATCCATGGGGTTTTTCGGACTTCCCAAGGTGCATATTGAATTATTTCGGAGCTTGGGGTTTAGGGTCGGAAGCCCCTTGTCACAACGATGTTGCTGGATTCGTTCGTTTGTCTCACACGAAAACCCTGAGCCTAGCTTACGAAAGTCTGCAAAGCTAGACTCGCAACTTCTCAATGTTGGCTCGAAGACGCCCCCGTCCAAGACAGGGGCTCTGATTCGCCAAGACGGCGTGCGGGGAACGGGTTGTGGGCTTTTTCAAAATCGTTCCGAGGAAGGAGAGCTGTTGAGATTCTGTCTAAACAGCCCATCAACTACCCCCAGGCTCCCTTGACACTTCGAGCCAACTTCCCGAAGGCTCCCTTGATGTCTTCATTTCGCCGAGCCATGTCGGATTCTCTTTGACCTGAGTGCACTTGCACCATGTGTTCTCGATCCTTTGTTGTGCAGAAGCGCAGCGCCAAGTCCCTGAGCCGCTATCAGATTGGCGATAAACTGGGAGCAGGTGGGCACTGCAGGGGCCGAGTTCCTTTCTAAGGATTCTAAGGGAGAGCCGGCGAGCCTCAGCCCCCAGGCCCCGCATCCCACGGGTAGGGTAGGTACGAATCAACACCTCCGCTTGGAAGCTTCCCCGCCACTCCGGATTTTCACTGCCGTCATTTGAGGCTAAAGTGCCGGCGCCCCATGGATTGATAATCGAGCAGGTCTAAATTTCTGGCTTAGTCTTTGGGAGGACTCCATGTCATCGTACACCACCTCAACTCGGGTCCAGAAAGGGCCAATAGTTGAGAACAGTCCTCAGTGGATTCCAAAGGATTGAAACACAACTCCTGAAACCCATCCTTGAGGTTTGTGAGCCATTCGTGACTGGGTTTGGGTTCGGGACATAGGTTCAAGGGTCAAGGAGTGTTATTAATAAGTTATGAACAGCATTCCCCTTCCGGCGAACTGATTTTCCTGGCAGGCTGCTTCGGGACCGTAGCGAAGGCAACCGACAAGCTCTCAGGCGTTCGACGGGCCTTCAAGACTGTCTCCAAGGTCAAGCAAGCTCAAATGTCGAAGAAGGATCGGACTGGGGCTTCAACTGCGCATGCACTGCGTGCGCAGTAGCACCTTAGGCAGTTTGAGCCCCCTTCTGATTCTAGAGCTTCAGGAGTTGGTAGAAGGCGAAGGTGACAAATTGCATTGGTCTCCGTCAGGCGATGGTGATGATGACGATGACGGCCTGTGAAGACCTGGCGATGACGGTCACGGTGATGTTCGTGAGACGGTTTAGCTGTGGCTGAGCCATGGAAGTCTTGTCTGACTGCCCTGTTCCTTTCCGTGTTCATTGCAGGAAGCTGCAACGATGGCACTCCTGGACCATCCGAGCATTTGCCGCTGAGCTTCTCTGGGAGATGAGCTGAGCTTACTACAAGAGAGTGGGTCAGTGGCTCTACTCTGTGACGAAAGAGAAAGAGAGAGCCATAGAGAAAAGGAGAGAGGGAGAGAGAGGGAGGGAGGGGGCGAGCGCGGAGATTGGGATAGGGGCAGGGATTGCTCGGGAGGAGGAGACAGAGAAACAGCTAGACAGAGAGAGATAGAGAGAGTGCTAGAGAGAAGAAGTGTGTACCGCATGTTGTGCTGTCGGTCTAAGCTTCGGACGGCACCAGGCACAGCATAATCGTGGTGTAGACTCAGCAGACCCAAAGCTCTTCTTGCTGGAAGCCTGTGTTTTCGTGGTTTCTCGGAAGTGATGCACCCAAGACAGCAGTTAACCTGACCAAACTCGGACAGTTTTGGACTTGGCGTGAAAGCATACAGCATACATGAGAACCCAGAGGCTGGCCGCCAGTTCAATGGTAGAGGTTGAGCTTGAGGTGCAAACCTTCGGGCCTGAAGCAAACGAGGACGGCTGATAAAATGAAAACTGATGCGAGCCAGAGATGCAGTGGATTTCATGATGTAACTCTGCGATGCACCATAGCCCAACGATGAGACCACAAGAGAAGAGATTGTTCTTGCACATTGAGGTGCGTGGTAGCTGACAACTTGCCACTGATTCTTTTCACCATCCCTCCGCTACGTGATAACCAAGGAAGCCAAGGGTCTAGGGTGGGAAGAACAATCGGCAGCACAGATGAACAGGATCTTTGGGTTCTCTGCAGACTACGCTAACGGATGAAGTCCGGTTTCCATTCGTCTAAGCACCCCTCGGGGACTTAAACCCAACGGCACGGCACGGAAACCCATCTACTCAGGCCGGCTCTATGACATTATTGATGATAAAGACAACGCGTACTTCGTGATGGAGTCGCGCAGCTGCCAACAGAGGGCGGGGGTAAGGTGTCGCGGTGTCGCATCGGTAGGGACGTTAGTGCAGCATAGTCGGTTCTGCAACCACTCGATGAGCAGGCAGTGCTGTAAAGAGTTCTCCCTGGTTCGCAGAGGGAGGGCCCAAGCAGGTGCACAGATTGCCTTCGAAGTTGGCATTGTAGCGAAAGAGGGAATCTCATCGATCCCCGAAATACCAAACAAAGCCTTGACAGCCCGGTTGTGGCTCCCAACGCAGCGCAGTGGCAGGCTTGGGCTTTATAGGAGCCGGAAGAAGAGCACATGCATTTGCATCGCCAGGGACTTCAATCTGACGGTCCCAGGGACTCAGGGCTTGAGCGAGCCTAGGGGCTGAAATGCAGATGCAGAAGCGCACCAGCACAAGAGCAATGGTTAAACCCAGAACCCCTCAGTGCTTCATGATACCTGGATGCTGGACCAGAGACGCATATGACACTCTCCAACAAGATGTCCGTGGTGATGGTGATGGTGATGATGATATCAACAAGATGAGAACCCTAGAAACAGCCGCCATAAATAGCCAAATGAGACTGAGACGCACGTTCCCAGGCTCTGTGCCGGAGGTGATTTGCAGCAGCGCCTCGAGGGTTTCACCGACCAGTTCTTGCCCGAACCCACGGCGGCGCCACTGGGACGAAGGTTTTGCACATGACTCTTTCAGGGTTTAGATGATGTGAAGCCCACGTCTCAAGCTCACACTCCTAAGTCCTCCTGCCTGGCTAGAGCCAAAGTCCCTTAGCCGAAAGCTGAAGTCCTCCAAAAGTGTTCCTGCGTAGGGGAGAAGTTCGAGCGCACTCACGCTTGCTGCACTCCGAGACTAGTCACTAGTCTCCAGCCTGCCTTCGCGAAGTGCCTCACTATAGCAGGACAGCAAAACCCATGCCCTGACACTCTGATCCCGAAAGACTCCTCCTTAGTTGAAGTCTGTCCTTTGACAGCTGTCCGGTTGGATATAACACGGGCTGAATGATGAGGACGGCGATGACAATCAAGACGTCACCCCCACCCCGAGCAACAGAGCTTCAAAGAAAGCGTTGCGTGCAGACGTGCGGCTGCTTAGAGTGTCTGGGTAGGGAAAACCTACTGCTTCGCGGCCTCCACTGCAAAATACAGCAACTCTGGTTATTGGAAAAGCGTGAGGTCCCTTATGAAGCAGCTGTTCTCTGCCATGAACTACCTCCACCAGCCACTCTTCCTGGGGAGAGTCCGATTGCGAAGTCTTCAGAAGAAGCATCCGCAACGGCCAGGGCTCAAGAGGGCACTCGCTCTGAACTCTTTCTGTCTCTGTGAAATTGATTCAGAGAGAAGGCAGACTCGCGGAAACCCAGCTTTCCTGGAGGTCAAAGACTTTGGACCCTGAAAGCTCCGACCCTGAAATCGGGACCCTAGGCTCTGGATCGCGCATGGAGACTTCGCAGCGCGCAATGTTCTGATCAAGGAGAACAAGCCTTTGGATCAAAGCATCCCGGCTCGCTTAGCATCTCTTCCAATCGGGGTTCGGGCTCAGACGTAGAACATGCGGCTCACAGCTCTAGGGTTTCAGACGGCTTCGTCCTTATGGGACGGTGGGGTGAGTGGGGTCGAAGCCTCTCCGTAGAAGGTCGCATCGGAGTAGTTCTGTGTGGAAGCAGGACACAGCTTGGGGAGTCCCAAGGCTTCCTAGCAGCTCCTAGCATTTCACACAAAGAGCGGAGGTTTAAGCTCTCATCGGCATCTCCGTACCTATCAGCTTTGCTCGTGAAGCATACCGCTCACCAACTAAAGCAGTTAACCCCAAAACTGACAGACCCGGCTTGGCAAACCTTGTCTCTACATGTTTGGGCACCCTTGAAGACCTGACCTTAAGCCGGAGTGCCCATCATCCTGCCAGGATCCAGCCTTTAGGGACTTCAGCCCTTGCGCCTTCGGAAAGACCTCCATGGCGCAGCCCAAGAACCCTTTCCCGAGAGCCCGAGCCCCGTCGTTCCAAGACAGGCATGGTCAAAGTTGCAGATTTCGGGAGTTCCCGCAGCGTCGACACGCTGCTTGTCTTGACTGTTTTTGGGGGATTGAGGAGCTTTAGCGGCATGAAAGGGGATGGGTCTGTGGAAACTTGGGCGGGGCTCTATTCGGCTGTACCAGGATACCCCCTGAGACTGAACTCGAACTACGCCGGGTGCGGTTGCAAGGTGACCTGGAGGTTGGGGATTTGTAGAGCGTTGGGGTTTTGAAAGCTTCCAATACACTTATATTATACCTTTTTGCAGTCGACGGCGTGTTGCTTCCTGCACAAAACGGGTTGCACCTGCAGTTTTAGACTTTGCATGTAGGATGTACCAGTTTGAAAGCTGGAGGAGCTGAAAGCGAAGCAATTCGAGTGAACCTGTCAGGGGCGTAGGAGGCCATCAGCTGGGCACTGCAACACTTTTGGTTGGTCTATCGGACCTGAAAAGCAGCTCCCCGAATATGTTCGGGTCGTTTGCCTCTCACCCCTATGTTTTCATCGGCATAAGCTATTTTCAAAACTCACACTTAAAATCAGCAAAAACCCTAGGCCCCGACTCCAAGAAGCCTATCAGAGATGCCAGAGGACGCAAGATTCCGGATCACACAAGAGCGACATTTGGGGTCTGGGGCAGCCTGGCAGGAAAAGCCAATCGAAATCCCAGAGTCAAATGAGCTTGGGTGTGGGATGGGCTGCTGCCTCGACCTTAAGTCGAACGGCGTCTTCAAAAAAGTCGGTAACGTTGTGTTGTCAGTGTTGTCCTAGCTGGATTTGAGACAATCTTGCACATGTGCAGCTTCGGTCTCGTTCCGATTGTGCTTGCAATCTGATTGATGAAATCTCGAAGAGATCCTCATCACATTCCTGACCAGTCCGAAGCTGGGCAGTTGTCGAGTCTTTTAACATTGCTGAGAAAGACGATGCAGCCGTGACCTTGCTAACCCTCAACTCTAGGCCCTACACTTTAGTGAAGCAACCCCCCTGCCCACGGCAGAGGCGGCTCATGCGCGGCCTTGTTTGTGACATTAGCCGCGTTCTGGGCAAGTCCACGATCGCAAGCGCCGCCTGGCAATTCGGGGCTCAGTAGGCTGCCGGGGCTTGACAGTGTAGGGCTTGTCGATTTGGGAAACCTTCTAGGCAGTCTGTTTTATACAAAGAAGGCACCAACACAAGTTCACTACAGTCAGCATTCTCGTCGCGACACTTCACACTCCAATGGCAAAACCGTTCTGCAACCAACCGCGTTTGACTTCAAACATGACACCCGGAAGGGACCCAAAACCCCGAACCTAGGAAAATAGATTGAATCCTGAATCAAACCTCGAAGCGTTTTGGGGTTTAGGGCAGAGCCCAGGGCATGGAAGGTCGTTAGTAGTGACTAGACCTATATGGGACGAGCATGACGATCCAAGTTCACTTGAGGCTCGAAGTCGACCTGAACTAGGCGCCACACTCTTGTTATCTTGTGGAAGCCTCAGAAGAGAGGGGAACCAAATATGCACTCGTGAATATTCATATCCTCAGAAAGAACACTGACGAGGCCCTGACAAGAGACCTCTGATTTTCTGAAACTCGCAAAGATTGGAGTTTAAACCTTGAGCTCCGAAAGGTAAGGGAGACCGTAAACCCTGACAGACCAAGAGGCCTCTGGTCAAACGTCGGTTCGAAAGCCGATGGACGACAGTGCCACCGGACTGCGATGTGCGGTGACGGCTTCATCGTTTAGCTAGAGGGGCTTAGGGCTGACGACTTAGGGATAAGCGTTCTGGAGCAGGCTTCAGGAATCAGCACGGGTCGCCGGATACTGCGCTGTACACCCTCGAACACTCAAGTTATACAGATGTTTGCATTGCTGTCTGCTTGTGCCGCTGCCTTACGTGAAGGGGTGCCCGCCGGTGAACCTGCCACGGTAAGTTTGCGTGATGTCTCGACATGTCAAACGCCACGGTGCTGAAACATGGCCTTGGGTTGGGATTATCGTAGCTTGAGGCTATACTCTACCTTTTTCAGAACCACCTGGCTCAAATACGCGACATTCAGTGAAAGCTCCAGCATCAGGCGCCTTTATAGCTACCGACCTACTCGTAGTCGGAGTCTCATCTAGCGGCAACACCTAGTCTTCTGGCCCGTGGAGAACATGTATGTCTGTATGTGTGTAGGTATGTACATACGTAAGTGCACGTAGGTGTGTATGTATGTACTGTATGTATGTATGTATGTATGTCTGTATGTATGTATGTCTGTATGTCTGTATGTCTGTACGTCTGTATGTATGTATGTATGTATGTATGTCTGTATGTATGTATGTCTGTATGTCTGTATGTCTGTACGTCTGTATGTATGTATGTCTGTATGTATGTATGCATGCATGCATGCATGCATGCATGCATGTATGCAGGTATGCATGTATGCAGGTATGCAGGTATGCATGTATGCATGTATGCATGTATGTATGTATGTATGTATGTATGTATTGAATGAATGAATGAATGTATGTATGTATGTATGTATTGAATGAATGAATGAATGAATGAATGAATGAAATGAATGAATGAATGTATGAATGTATGAATGTATGAATGTATGTATGTATGTATGTATGTATGTATGTGTATGTATGTGTGCGTGTACGTGTACCTGTACCTGTACCTGTACCTGTACCTGTACGGACGGAGGGAGAGAAGGAGGGAGGGAGGGGTGAATGTATGTGTGTGTGTATATATATATATCTATATATATATATGTGAGAGAGAGAGAGAGAGAGAGTATATGTGCACACAAACACACTGCCCATGTGTGTAGGGGCGGCGGCAGAAAGGGAAATACGTGTACTTTAATGTTTTCTGCATTGAAATTTGTATGTTCATTGATATATTGATTCCCACAGAGATTGCAACTGCTGGCATGGCATCGGATCCGTCGTTTCGAGAATGAAGGAAACGCCCAAACTTTACATCTGCGCAAGGCTAAGACCAAACAATTTCCTACGACTGAGGCTCTGAGCGGTGTTCGTGATTGTTTGTCCAGTCCGATTTTAAGAAATCCACCGACAGACATCACCGTCCTTGCCGGCCAAAGCACCGCGCGCTGCAGCGTAGCTGCCGGCAGTAGCAGGGATGAAATAGCCGTCAGGCGTGTGGACATGGAGAGTCGGAGGAGCAGTTGAGGGAAGCAACCGTCGGTGCAAGGCCCAGACTTGAAATGTGGCCAACAAGAGAACTCCCAGAATTGTAATTTTAAAGAACTCCGAAGTTGACCGACGGCCGCTTGCAACATTCAGGCTGTGGATGATTCCACTGCTCTGAATGAGAAGAGTTTCTTTATCGGGAGAAGGTGATGGAGCGGGTGGGAAAACAGGGGTTATCGGTTTTCACTAGTGGGGCGAGCGTTGGGATCCGTACAGTCCAGAACACCAGACGACTCCTGCAACCGGTGTTCTGGATCAGCACTGTGCACGACGTCATGGACACCATTTAGGGCTTGTTGCTTCCGGAGAGTGCGGATGCAGCGACCCTCAGGCATGGATTGGGCATTCGGACGAGTCGCGCTGCCTTTGCGGCCGCATTCTTCGCCGTGATCCTGCTGCAAGGCCTTCAAGCTTTGGGCTCCGAGAAAGCATTGCGGAGCCCGGTGTTCGTACAGGAGCTTGCATGCAATGTCGTGAGACTCCGGACCCTAAGCCCTACATTGCAGTCCTGGAGTCCTTCCCTTCCGAATCACGGTTGACCCGAAGGTGGACTGCAGAAGAGGCTTTGCACCATCCCTGGCTGATTGGCGTGAAAATGCAGTCGAAGGAGACGGCGCCTGCAGGAAATAAGACTGCATTTAGATTTCAGGGTTTGAGCTCAGGATTGGAGGGGCAAACATAGCCGTAGAGCCTACCTCAAGAAAAGAGACGCCTGAGCGTGTCGCTTCGATCCACGGGAAGCCGGAATGGCCAAAGGATAGTTGCGTGTCCTGGCCCATGAAACCCTGGGCAGCTGAAATGGGAACGTTGCGTAGGAGGCTGATGCCAAGCCATGGTCAATCAGAGAATCCTGCACCTGAATCCCGCGTGAGTCGTTGCACGACAGCCCAGACTTAGGGTATGGTGCGCCTCCTTAAGCTTTTGACAGGAGGCAACCGTTCCAGAGAACATCCTGCAGCGCCTACAGCGGCTTCGACGCAAACCGATCTATGCAACTCAAAGCCAAAGCCCCACCTCCCGTGAAACTGACGCCCTCGGAGGGCGCAGAGCGGTCGGTTGCTGTGGAGCCTTGGTGGTTTGCATGCGTTGCCCGCAGGATTGTGGCAACGATGCCGACTGCTTACCACGGATTCTGCCCACCTGCTGCTACTGCTGCTGCTACTCCCACGAGTACTACTACGAAGCAAACCCGAGAGTTCAAGATGCAGGGCCTCTGTGCAAATTATAGCGACGTCGTCTCCGAAATTAGCGATCATAGTCGTCCCAAATTAAGCCAACTTAGCGACGCAGCCCTGGTGCCAATGTGACTCTTTGTATTGTTTGGCCCACTGGAACCTCAAAGAGCACCCCGGCTGGCACAGTCCGAGACCCACCGAAACCAGAAGCACCCTGTCCGGCTCCGCATGGTTGTCTTGGCCTGTCAAACCACCAAGATCTTTAACAAAGCTTCTGTGGTCCAGATGGAACCTCCAAACAAACGTATGTGCTTCCGAAGCGGGCCCGCGAGAGTCGTCGTAGTGACGCAGGGCTTTCGCGAACGCCAGCTGCCTGGAGCGGGTTGCGCTGCAAGCCATCGCAGAGCACCTTGGCAATTGCATTAGTAAGCACATTGCTCAGGCCATGGTTGCGAAAAATTCACCTGGCTTCCAGCGATGACACTCTGCTGAGCACGGAAAGTGTGCACCCGTTTGTCAGTCAGGTCCTTCGTTGCTCAGTTGCTGTGCAATTCAATGAGCACTCTGCCTTGGCAACTAATCTTGATGCATCGGGTGCTCTTTGTCTGTCATTGGTGTCACCCGCTGTTGAAACACATTGCAGCCGGCCTTGCAGCTTTGCGCCGCACTTCCTCACTTCCGCTACTCTCATCCGCATGAAGTCGAAGGTTCAGTTTCTTATCATAAGCCAAAATTTTCTTTCTCCTGGCGCGCGGGAACTTTTGTGTACAACAGCTTCTGTCGATTCCCCCGTACAGTCAGATGAGATTTTGGGATCAGACTGGGAACAAAACTGGTACTCGGCGTGCTGCCTTCGTGCCTCAAGCTTTCCAGCCTGTCCGACCTCTTTTTGGCATGGCGAAAGATGCAGTCTTGCTTGCCTGCAGTCCATGCTCTATATCTGTCGCCGGACCGGAAGGCTTGAGACCGCTCTATTGCTATCAGAAGATTGATATAGCATCCCTTTCGATGGCAGCTTGATCTGTGTCGCCCCTGCTTGAGCCAAGCATGGGATGTCAGACGTTCGGGATTTCCGCAAGCATGACAACAACAGCAGCAATAACAACAAACAAGGTGATGTAGAAGCCTTAAGAGTAATCAACACTGACCCCAACAGGGCACAATTGACCCTAGTTTGCTTTCACCTCAGGGCTGAGGGAGCCCAGCTATTTCTTTCGAAGGCAGAGAGGAGGCTGCGAACACCTCTTTGTCACGCTTGACAAGCCACTTGGCATTCGAATGATCGTCTAAAGACCCCGGAATCTTTGCTGTGATGCCGGTCTTGAAGCTTCCTGGAGCACTGAAGCTTAAGGGAAGGCTGCACTAGCGACAGGCGAGAGGAACTCTTGCTTGGGGCCCGCGAGCTTGAAAGAAGCTCTAAACCCCACAACCTTGAAGATTTTACCACCTAACAAGCCTCCGGCACCATCCTGGCATCATGTTGCTTCCAGGGACGCTGATGGCCTCCTCACACCAGCAGACCTCCAGTGCTGTGGAGCGAAGGATAGGGTTGGCTCTTGCAGGGTTTGTGTTGGGGAGGGACACGGTTCAGAGAGTGGTGGCGGGGTTTTAACGGAGGAGTAAACTTTTCCGTGTGATTTCAGCGGCGTTGCACAGCCCAGGTGCTCCCTGGAAGAAGTCTTCGGCACAGCCGCTGAGATGCCGAACTTCCATTTTCTCCTGGCCGAGGCAGCGGCTTGAGGGTCAGCGTTTAGTGCTTCCAGTGGTTATCAGATTTAGGATTTGAGAATTTTAGGGCACCGGTTGCGGCTCTTCGGGATGAAAGCTTGTTTTTGGACTTGTGTGGTCACTATAAGTTCGATAGCAAGCAAAATTCCAATTGGACTTAAGAAAAAGACAGGCTATAGCAGCGTCAGGGCTCAGCCCTTGCCGTTAAGGCCTTCAGGCCTGCGGCGGTTCCTTGCCGAGCAAAGGCAGAGTTTAGGGTTTAGAAGTTATAAGGGCTAGTCTTGAGGCCACCAACATCTCAAGAAGCATGTTTCGGAGCTCAAGCAGCAGGGGCTGCTTTCACTTGGGTTTTCCAATACCGACACTGTGGGGGGGTAGCTCTCATGCTCAGGACCGTCGCCCTGCTGGGCTTGACATAAAATTGTTGGCCTTGTTGTCTTCGGCTGCGGCATAGAGAAGGAGTCTCCCGAAGAGAATCCCCAGTGTTCGGAGTCAACCTTTCTCTTGCGGCCGGTTTTGCGAGAAGCTGGAACGAGAAGCAGCGGAAGTCACAGAACGACTCAGGCCTTGCTGGCCGAATCCAATGCAAAGCCGGCTACGGTTCTACGAGCAGCAGCAACAACAACAGCAACAAGATCAGAGCACTCAAAAGTTAGCCTCATTCGCGGGTTGCCCCGGCAACCTGATATCCAAATGCCAGGTAGATCCGGATGGTGTCGGCGCGGTAGAGCTTTCAACCTTCAATGCTGCGATGCTCCAGGCTCGGTGGGCCTTGCTTGACCGGAAGATGTGTCAAATGTGAGAGTACATGCTGACAGGGTGTATGTTTCACTTCAGGAATCGCATCGCGGCCCCAGCCCCAAACTTCAGATCCTGGCGACAATGAAAATCGCAGTCAGTTCAGCCTGCGTTTGCTCTTTGAGCTCCACGTCACCGTACTCGCACTGACACTACCAGTCACATGAACCCCTAGTCCCTCGCCATGAGAACGAACTTGCTGCAAACCCGAAAGACTAAGCCAAAACAAAATGATTCTCAAGCCGCAAATCTTCAACGGCTCCGTAGTGACATGCCCACCTGATTTCAATTGAGCTTGTTGCGTAGATCAAGAAACTCGGAAACTTGGGTTCACATTCCGTGGGAATGCGGTCATGGGCCTCGCCCTGCATCTCCGAACCATCACGAGAAAGGTTGTGGAATCTGTCGTGGTTTTGTCTTGGCCGACGAGGCAGCCAGCTTGGACAAGAGAACGGTGACAGCCGGCTTCCGTGTGATCGACAGGGACGCTTGGCTGTGAAATGTGGAGCCGGGCAGTTGTGGGCTCGGAGTTTAAAGGCTACCCTTCGGTGATTCCGGAGAGCAGCAACGACTCTTTGACTTGCGTTTTGCCTGATTGCCATGGTCACTGTAATGATATCCAGCCCCCAACACAGACAACAAAGAAATGTCGCCAGAATTCTTCTCGAATCACGGAGAAACCAAGAGAAACAGAGTTCTAGCCGCAGCAGCACACCTCGTAGCAGTAGCAGTCGCAGTAGCGGTAGCCGTAGCGGTAGCGTTAGCGGTAGTGGTAGCAGTAGTAGTAGTCGTCGTCGTCGTAGTAGCAGGAGTAGTAGTAGTAGTAGTAGTAGTAGTAGTAGTAGCAGTAGTAGTAGCATCAGCAGCAGCAGGAGGTCGTCGTCGTGGCCTTACATAGTTGCAGTAGCAGTAGCAGTAACAGTATAGCAGCAGCAGCAGCAGTAGTAGTAGCAGCAGTAGCAACGGTAGCAGCAGTAGTAGTAGTAGTAGTAGTAGTAGTAGTAATCGTGGTCGTAGTCGTAGTCGTAGTCGTAGTCGTCGTAGTAGTAGTAGTAGTAGTCGTAGTAGTAGTCGTAGTAGTCGTAGTCGAAGTCGTAGTCGTAGTCGTAGTCGTAGTCGTAGTCGTAGTCGTAGCCGTAGCCGTAGTCGTAGTCGTGGTCGTAGTNNAGCAGTACTAGTAGTACTAGTAGTACCAGTAGTGGTAGTAGTAGTCGTAGTGGTAGCAATCGCGGCCGCAGTCGCAGTCGCAATAGGAGTAGGAGCAGTAGGAGTAGTCGTCGTCGTCGTCGTAGTAGTAGTAGTAGTGGTACGATACATTTTACATAGGCATGAGACGCCGCAAGGGTGGTTGCCTTCGTTTTCTTGAGCTATGCCGTCATTGCCGTTTCAGAGCACCGCAACTTCTAAACTTTTCGTCAGCGAATCTTAGAGCCTCGGGCCTCCAGCCGGGAATCCCAACCCCCCGTCTCAACCTTAAGCCCTCAATCTTTATACGTACTAACGCGACAGACAGATTCCGTGCTCCTAATCTCTACAACTTTCGTGGTCGCTGCAGGCGGCGCTGCTCCTTGGCGACTTTGAGAAGTGCCAGTCGAAATTAGAGGCGAAAGTGGGTCCTACTACGGGGGCCTCATGACTTAGAAAAGGGAATAGGGTTCTGTCTGGGGTCTATTCTACAAAAACCCTAGGCCCTAAACCCTAAAACCCAACGAACAAGATTGTTAGTTCTCAAGGCTTCTGCAGTACGTAGAGCGTTGTGCATGGCGTTACGGGGCTTACATCTGCTTTTTCTCGTACCCTTAACAGGGCTTTAGTATATAGGTGCTGTTTTCATGCAGGGCTTAGTCTTTGGTTGAAGGCGTTTCGTATAGGTGTTTGGCTTTCAGGCACGGTTTCTTCGGGTTTCGGGCTCCCCCTGACCTAGCCTAGCCTACTTGCTTTGCGCAGTGCCTGAACTTACGATGTTCGGACCCCTAAGCCCTAAAACCCTAAACCCCAAACCCTAAACCCCTAAACCCCTAAACTCCTAAACCCCTAAACCCCAAACCCTAAACCCCTAAACCCCTAAACTCCCAAAACCCAAACCAAGGCCCTAAACCCAGCAGGATACACGCAACCCAAAAGCCTGGAATCGATCGAATCAACTCTAAAGCCCGGAAGAATCTTTGGGGTTTAGGGTTTTAGGGCTTGGGTGGGAGTTAGGAATTAAATAGGGTTTAGGGTTTTAGGGCTTGGGGGTGTGTTAGGAATTAAATAGGG